GAGAGAGAGAGAGAGAGAGAGAGAGAGAGAGAGAGAGAGATTCTCGAGCAGATTTTCCGAATTGAACTAGGCGGAGGCAAAATTTGCGGACAGCTTTACTAAGTTGAGGCGTTTTGTATAGAAAGAAAAATCAAAACTTAAAATGTCAGAACTTTTGATCGGAAAGAGCTACTCATAATCTTTTATGTGAATTAAATATTATTCATGAGTAATATTGCGTCTCATTAAATGTTATTTTTAATTAAATCATGGGTCACTGTGCTGTATTAGAAAGTTTTCGTGGAAGTAACAAAATTAGTGCATGGGCCTGTAAATTAACTACTTACTGCTTATCCGTGTCCCCTAAAATGATGGCGATTAAAGCACATCTGGCTATCTTATAACCTTTTTAAAAAGTTTAGTTTTAATGGCGTTCAATACAGATGCATCTCACCAGAATGCTATTCTTTATAATCAATTAATTAAAACAAAGTGAACAATCTCGTCTCTCTCGGCGTCTTTCCTGCAGGATGATGAACTTCCTTCAACACTTTTCTGAGATTCGTTAAGAGTTGCTAAAGGCCACAATTCCACACGAGTCTTTTGGTTCTTCAGTCTCGTCAGTTCTCCCCACCTTGGTATGCTTGGTCAAGATCTTCAGTGCTCAGTAATGCGTGGTCGTGCATAACTATCCTAAGCAATGTAAAACATGAAACTGGCAAAGGAGTGTTCCCTCTACAAATTGACAATGACCTGGCAAAGGTGCCGCAAGGTGCATGTCATTTAGCCTCTTTGTGTACGGAAATTTGCCACGAAGCTGGTAACATGACACACAATTGGCTCCCTGCCACGGCAGTGACGCATTACTCATATTCACGTAATTGTATCCGGCATGTATATCACAGGAATACATATGACAGGCATTTTTACATGTATTTTTAAATCTTTTAATTTCAAAACTTAAAAGGGTATATATTGTGTTTGGGTTAGTTTGTTTATGCTTTGATTTTGTTTAATTGTTGTTTTTTGTTGTTAGTTATTCAAATTGTTATCGAGTTGTGTTTTTTTGGGGTTTTTTGGGTCTTTTTTGCAAGTTTTGTTTTGGTTGTTATTGGCTTTTTTGCTGTTTTTTAACATATTTTTTTCCTGGGGGGGGGGGGGGGGGTTTTTGTTTTTTTTTTTAATTTTTTTTTTGGGGGGGGGGGGGGGGGAGATTATGTGTTGCTAGTTAAAGTTTCATTGATATCGAACAAGCATCAATTCCCTGTATTAAATCAATACCAACACTATCAGCGGTTTGTAGGGAAAATAACACTTGGAAGCTACACTATGATCACATAATTTGTGATACGTGGACTGTCCCAAAGTTAACCAGAAAATATGGTGCAAAAAGTCCGTAAATTTGTCCTGATTGAGATAAGGCGTACACATGGAATATTCCATTCGTTTCCCAACAGCCCTCGTATACCAGCTGTGCAAAGGAGTCGTAGTCTTGTCCATGTAAAGAAAATGCCTTGAAGATGTCTCGTGTCTTGTTTTTGATAATAGGGATGTATTTTTGGTTGTAAAAAAATTCTCTAAGAGTACAATTACGTAATGATAGTGCTGTTTATTAATGAAAAAAAGGTTAAGACAAAATAATAATGATGGCATCCTTTCTCAGATTTTGCCGTCATTAATATTGCAATACAAGTCAATGCATCCTTCACGCAAGTCACAGTCTAGGAGCACACCATTGCTGACTGCTGCAGCACGGCAAGCTTCTGTGTAGTTTCTCTTTGCACACACCAAGAACTGACAAGGAACATACGACATAGGGGACATATTCATTAATTTGACGGGGAAACAATCAAACATATGTGAAAAGAACTCACGCCCCGCCATCTCTCTGGACATCATATACCAGATCACAAACTTTGTCCATGCATACGATAATCTACAATCATACAGGGGTACTGAAAACATTCACATTTTGAAAATAGAAAAAAGGCTAAAAACAAGTAACAGTGGTTTGGCCACTACACAGTTTTGGTAGGAGGCTTCAGCGGCAATAGCTTGAGCACGGAGAATATCCCGTAGACATAGGCGGACAGTATCCACTTGATGGTTGCTCCGACGCTAAAGCCGCGATTACTGGGGAACGGAGAGAAAGAACTCATTAGTTAAGAAACCAACAGACTTACTTCAGTGGGGAG